CGGTCATATTCCAGTGTGGCATGAATAACTGTATGCTCTTTTAATCACATTATTTCTAAAAGCACTACTTTAAAAAGCTGTAGTTTGCACTAAAAAGCTATTCATTTAATTTGTGACAGGGCAAATACTTGATCAGAGTTAAATACGATTTTAATCAAGGAGTGTTATTAATGCAGCTAAAAATGCCCTTATAGTTACATCATTAATAAATAAATAAATACGAAAAAAAGAAGAAAAAAATCTATACCTTTTATGCTGGCTCTCCTTTCTTTTTCATGTCTGAGAATTTTCTCACGTAGCATTCATTAGTTCTTTTTTATACATGTGGCCCATTGCATTAGCACAGTGAATAACTGTGTCGCATAGGTATAGTAGACTCTCAGTAAACGGAAATCTGTTAAACAGACCTACTGCTTAATTGGAACTATTGCCTCTGCAATGCTACAGAACACCTGCTCAATGGGACATATTTTTCCAGTCCCTTCAGTTTCCGTTTACTGTGAGTGTGTGGGATTAAAGTAAAACCTTTGCTGAGCGACATTAATCAGTCCCTATCGGCTGTCTTCGCCCTTTCCGACCGGATGCTGGTGAGCTGAATGATATGCATTACCACCATCTTCAGTGTTACATTCTTTCAAGTTTGTGAGCTTGTGCTCTTACTTGTGTACCATAATTGTTCTGTGGCATGATACCAGCATCTTGCGGTACACCTTTAATCTAGATTAAGACCAATGGCAGTAGCTTTTTATGGCTGTAATTAGCTCTCTTCCACAGCTTCTGCAAGTCAATCAATTGTAATCGAGAAATACAGTCAGGTCAAAACTAATGGCGATCAGAAATGATCATGCAACACTGGTGTAAGATTCTCATCTGCATGTTACTAGTGGCTTGCCAGCATGAACTTTTGTCACTAGGCCAGCTTTATGAGTTCAAAACCACTCAGTGTAGACTGTATATGTATCATGCTGAACTGAAATAATCACATTCTGTGGCTTTTCAGGTTGAAGAGAGAGCGATAGTGGTCTGGGGATCCCTAGAAGCTTTAGACGAGCAGCTAGAGAAAAGGGACGAGGAGAGATCCAAGAGGAAGCGAAAGGCATTTAATAAACGTGTCAAAGGTAGGAAGCATGCTGGTGTTCTTCAGAACTTTATGTTAATCTTCATGCACATTTGGGCTTTTCTGCCCGCATTCAGTGCCTCGTGCTTCTATAGTATGTGGCGTGTATGCCAATTGTACAGTAGAAAAAAAAGGCAATAAAAGATAACACGATTTCCTCACTATAATCTTCGTGTAGTTGTGCACGTTCTATAAGATGTGGTGTGGGATTTTTTCAGTTCTTTTTTTTCTGGCTGGGCTTATGTTAGCTAAATGTGTAGATGTTGCTTCATACTCGATTACCTCACAAGACATTACATTACACCAAAACCTCTTAAAGCTTGCCTAATTTTCATCCTGCATGCTGCGTCAATAAGCAAAAAGCCAGCCCTGCTCTACTGTTGGTTATTCCACTTAATATTAAGGTACTACGGTGTGTTGAAGTGCATCTGATGCAATAAGTGCTTACCACAGCACTAAATTGGCTCCCTGTGAGCAGCAAGATTTGCTCTAAAAGATTGGTTGTTGCAACATTGATTGAGAGAAAGGGCGTTATTAAAAAGATGAAAGAAACACCTCCCTCCTGCACTCTAATGCAGCTATGCAGTACATACATTTCGTGCAAGAATTTGCGCTCTTTTGGGAATTATTTCAGATAAACAAAAAATGCAGCAGTGGCAATAAAACTGATAAACGAAACAGTGATCTGCATTTACCCAGCAAAATTTAACTAAAGTTGTATTGTCCGGCTGCATTATCCGTAGAGGGCACAAGAAAAGGTGCTTGTCGAATTCAGATTGATTGATTGAAAACATTTATTTGAAAACAAAAGAGAGTTGCAGTTAAAAGGCTCTGCGCTGGATGAAGTCCCTATACGGAACCCTATTGGCATCAGCCTCTAGCTTAGCCCCCCGAACGAAGGTCCTCTGTGCCTGATGGTCCGAGCAGCTAAATAGGGCCACCTTCCACTCTTCTTGGGTTGGGGAGAAGGGCTGAGTTAAGCTAGCAAGCCCGAACAATGTGGTAGCTAGAACTCGCTGTTGGGCTCGTTGATTCATGTTTGAATTAAATAGTGAACTTTGCGCCAAAATCGCAACCACACAGAAGAAAAAACACATAGACAGAACGGGCACTCGTCCCGTCCTGTCTATGCGCCTTCTTCTTCTGTGTGGTTGCGAATTTGGTGCGAAATTGACTATTTGATTCAGAGTGTGGTAGGTGTTAGCCACCTCCTCACTGTATTGGTACTTGGCAGTGAAGGAAGAATCGAGATGTTTCATGATTAAAAAGCGTGCCGACAACTTTACTCTGCTGGAACTAAAAAAAAAAAATTCTGGAGAAGTAAAGTGCCATAATGTGACAAAGTACCGAGCATGTATAAGGCGTAGGTACTACTTCGGCACCGCAACCAGTGGCTTTCCAACACCTCAGTGAAATTCTAGCGGCAACTCGATGGATGACAAGTACTACAGATTGTTGAAGTTGGTGCATTATAATATCATTTTGCTGTAGTGCAGCTCAGTTTCATCGTGCTCCAACTGAGCTGCGCTATAGCAATACGATATTCGATGTATGACAGAATGGCATATGCAGAGAAGAGCCACTAGCTCAAGAAGTACACAGCACAAGTAATGATGGTCCTCAAGAACGCTTAAGAGAAACAGAACAAAAAGAGTTCATTCCCCGCAGCAGATATTGCTGTTTCTGTGAGAACTACCATATAAGCCAAAAGAATGGTCGTCATACCTAAAACGGGACAAGAAGTGTAAGGAATTCGGGCACTTTGTTTACATGTTCAATCCAAAAAGAGCTCGTTACTAGTCAATCTTACACGCCTTCCCTTATTATGTGCAGCCCTCCCAGTGCTTCCATTTCAGGAACAGAATGCACTTTGTCAGATTGCTTACAGGAATGTAGTTAGTTTTCAAAAAAGTAAATGCTAGCAAAATAGAATGCTATTGTTTGAAAACAACCTGTGAGCCAGGGGTTGCAGGCTTTAGCTTTGTAGAGTATCTCTTTTTTTAGATGAAAAAAGAGCAGCACCAGAGAGCACTGTTCAACTTGCAATGAAACTTTACACATGCCTACCTACTTAAATTGGCTGCATGGTTAATACAGTCGCACACAATAAAAGGCTGTGTGCTACAGTTATTTTCTGCACGAGGAACCGTCAGCAGTTGCCGAGATTCGCTTTTGTTTAGGGTTGCACTGTCATATTATCTTTACTGATGAAAACGTCAGGCAAAATTTGCTGCAATGTGGCATCATGGATAGCGTGGTGACAATCTAAAAGAGACAGGGCAGTCGTAATGTTGTAGTGCAAATCGAGCCAGTTTCTTTGATTTGCTGGTTTAAACCGACTTAGCGGGTTCCTTTATGTCTTCAATATAGAGCAATTTCCTCATGTGCTGCTAATTGCATGTTTTTTTGATGCCCCAAAACACAAGAAAAGAAAAGGCCCTTGCATTTATACTCTACAGTGGCATATGTTGAATGATGTAATGGAGGGCGTCCTCAGTCTTGGATGGGTAAATCAGTTTTAGAGCATCATTACATTTTGTCTTAAAAAAAAAATAACTGCCATATTGGATCTGAAGCTGTCATTAGATTACACACCACTGTTGCCGCAGTCCACACAAAAAGGCAACAGCAATAAAAAAAAAGTGAAGTTTGTATTGCAAGTGTGATATAGTATAGGAGTGGAAAATGTAGAATAAGGCATTTATGTGTTTGGTTTATGGGGCTTTTTAATTGGTTTGCATTGCAGAGCTGAGGATGACTGTGAGGAGCAGTTTATACCGTCCACTTGGGCAGAACCATGAGCACAGCTATGGGCCAGAGTCGCATGACTCTGATAACGACGAATACTTCAAGATTTGCACCACCTGTGGGCACCGAATGAGCTACGAGAAGATGTGATTCTTTTTTCCAATAAACTTTATAGCTGTACATAATTTTAACAAAGTAAAAGTTGCATCACTGGTCACAAGCAAGTGTCACCATTCATCTTTTTCCATGCACTCTTTAGCGAGTTAGTTGCCTTTGTGTGTCATAATAGTCCAGCATTTCGTATAGTGTGCATTCGTACAGGATGATACAGCACCAAATGTGAAAGGAAGTAAGCAGTGGTGCCATTGAACACAACTCTGTTCAGTAATGACTAGTATGAAACCTAGACTCTGGTTCTCAAGCATCTTGGAGCATGTGAACCTCTTGTACTCACTGTCATGTATCAAATGCAACGCAATGGAGGCTATGGAGACTTCTTGCAGTAGAATGCTTACACTTCTAGAAATAGTTCAATAGTTTTACCACTAGCATTGGATGGAAATAGCAAGGATGTAACAATTACTTGCATTCTCAGGCAGAGAAATAAATGAAGATGTTTGTGCCTTCCAAGCAAAACTTATTTACACAGCAGCCTACATTTTCTTGTTTGCTTAGTCCTTTAGTTTTGAGCCCTACAATTATAACTGGAAGTGATGACCAAGACATACAGACACTCAAAGCCCGAAAGAAGTACTACCCCACCTTCGCAGTGGCCTGCAGGTGATCAGCTGTGCATAAATTCAAGTTATTTGCTGGCTTTAGGATACTGGTGCATTGCCTATGGAAGTAAGCAATTGGCCTTATTGATGCAGTTAAAACTAGCAGTAGAGTGCATTGTGGCAAGAACCAGAAGCGACTTCGGCTTGCACCTAGTTTTGTTAAAAGTTTAGTTGAGGCATTTCAGAATGGACATCAAGCAGGAGCTTTTATTTTAGTACTAGATTTCTTCACTATGAGGTCCACTGCCCCGCTTTCCAAACGATGCTGCTCACGGCACTACATACGACTAATGCCCGTAGCTCAAGCTGCACCATAAATGGCTCAGTGAACATGGGAATAAAAAGAAAATTCAAAATAACCAGCAAAAAAAAATTTTATTGAGACTTCACGTCCCGTTGTGTGAAAGCCCGAAGGCTGGTCAACACAACACCAATGAAAAAGTCACTGGACCAGCCCAGCTAGGAAGAAAAAAAAAAGTTCTACTGGCCACCACGGAGCCGCAGGACAAGGTGGAGGGTCGATTCCTTCTGAATGTTGTAATCGGAGAGAGTGCGGCCGTCCTCCAACTGCTTGCCTGCAAAGATGAGACGCTGTTGGTCTGGTGGAATGCCCTCCTTGTCCTGGATTTTAGCCTTCACATTTTCGATGGTGTCGCTGGGCTCGACCTCCAGGGTTATGGTCTTGCCGGTGAGGGTCTTAACGAAGATTTGCATGCCTCCGCGCAGCCGGAGGACGAGGTGAAGGGTCGACTCCTTTTGAATGTTGTAGTCGGAGAGGGTGCGGCCGTCTTCGAGCTGCTTACCGGCGAAAATAAGACGCTGCTGGTCCGGAGGAATGCCTTCTTTGTCCTGAATTTTGGCCTTCACGTTTTCAATGGTGTCGCTAGGCTCGACCTCCAGGGTGATGGTCTTGCCGGTAAGTGTCTTCACAAAGATTTGCATACCTCCGCGGAGCCGCAGGACCAAGTGCAACGTCGACTCCTTCTGGATGTTGTAGTCGGACAAAGTGCGGCCGTCCTCAAGCTGTTTGCCGGCAAAAATGAGACGCTGCTGATCGGGCGGGATCCCTTCCTTGTCCTGAATCTTCGCCTTGACGTTCTCAATAGTGTCGCTCGGCTCGACCTCCAGAGTGATCGTCTTGCCCGTCAGAGTCTTGACAAAAATTTGCATACCACCGCGGAGTCGCAAGACGAGATGAAGGGTGGACTCCTTCTGGATGTTGTAGTCGGACAGTGTGCGCCCATCCTCGAGCTGTTTTCCGGCGAATATGAGACGCTGCTGATCGGGAGGGATGCCTTCCTTGTCCTGAATTTTCGCCTTGACATTTTCAATAGTGTCGCTCGGCTCGACTTCGAGCGTGATGGTTTTCCCAGTGAGCGTCTTGACAAAAATCTGCATGCCACCACGGAGCCGCAGCACTAAGTGAAGGGTAGACTCCTTCTGAATGTTGTAGTCCGACAGAGTGCGGCCGTCTTCTAGCTGCTTGCCGGCGAAGATCAGACGCTGCTGGTCTGGTGGGATTCCCTCCTTGTCTTGGATCTTGGCTTTCACGTTTTCGATCGTGTCGCTGGGTTCAACTTCCAGCGTGATCGTCTTGCCTGTCAGCGTCTTGACGAAGATCTGCATCCCACCACGAAGCCTCAGCACCAAGTGAAGGGTGGACTCTTTCTGAATGTTGTAGTCCGACAGTGTGCGGCCGTCTTCCAACTGCTTGCCGGCGAAGATCAGACGCTGCTGGTCTGGCGGGATTCCCTCCTTGTCTTGGATCTTTGCCTTCACGTTCTCGATGGTGTCGCTGGGCTCGACCTCCAGGGTTATGGTCTTGCCGGTGAGGGTCTTAACGAAGATTTGCATGCCTCCGCGCAGCCGGAGGACGAGGTGAAGGGTCGACTCCTTTTGAATGTTGTAGTCGGAGAGGGTGCGGCCGTCTTCGAGCTGCTTACCGGCGAAAATAAGACGCTGCTGGTCCGGAGGAATGCCCTCTTTGTCCTGAATTTTGGCCTTCACGTTTTCAATGGTGTCGCTAGGCTCGACCTCCAGGGTGATGGTCTTGCCGGTAAGCGTTTTCACAAAGATTTGCATACCTCCGCGGAGCCGCAGGACCAAGTGCAACGTCGACTCCTTCTGGATGTTGTAGTCGGACAAAGTGCGGCCGTCTTCAAGCTGTTTGCCGGCAAAAATAAGACGCTGCTGATCGGGCGGGATCCCTTCCTTGTCCTGAATCTTCGCCTTGACGTTCTCAATAGTGTCGCTCGGCTCGACCTCTAGAGTGATAGTCTTGCCCGTCAGAGTCTTGACAAAAATTTGCATACCACCGCGGAGTCGCAAGACGAGATGAAGGGTGGACTCCTTCTGGATGTTGTAGTCGGACAGTGTGCGGCCGTCCTCGAGCTGTTTTCCGGCGAATATGAGACGCTGCTGATCGGGAGGGATGCCTTCCTTGTCCTGAATTTTCGCCTTGACATTTTCGATAGTGTCGCTCGGCTCGACTTCGAGCGTGATGGTTTTCCCGGTGAGCGTCTTGACAAAAATCTGCATGCCACCACGGAGCCGCAGCACTAAGTGAAGGGTAGACTCCTTCTGAATGTTGTAGTCTGACAGTGTGCGGCCGTCTTCTAGCTGCTTGCCGGCGAAGATCAGACGCTGCTGGTCTGGTGGGATTCCCTCCTTGTCTTGGATCTTTGCCTTCACGTTCTCGATGGTGTCGCTGGGTTCAACTTCCAGCGTGATCGTCTTGCCAGTCAGCGTCTTCACAAAGATCTGCATGCCTCCACGAAGCCGCAGCACAAGGTGCAGGGTGCTTTCCTTCTGAATGTTGTAATCGGACAGCGTGCGGCCGTCCTCGAGCTGCTTGCCGGCGAAGATCAGACGCTGCTGGTCAGGCGGAATTCCCTCCTTATCCTGAATTTTCGCCTTGACATTTTCAATGGTGTCACTCGGCTCAACTTCGAGCGTAATAGTTTTTCCCGTGAGCGTCTTCACGAAGATCTGCATGGTGGTTGATCTGTAAAGAGAACGAAGAGGCAATGTCAAATAACGATGCGTAACAAATGGGTGTCGCCACAGGCAAATATGGCGCTTAGGCCTAACCGCGTCGAAGTAGGCCAAGAGGGTCTCGACGGTTAAATTCGCTCGAGCTCGCAGAAAGCATTAACAGCACGTAAACAACTAGCCGAAACAGTTTACGCCAAACCTGAGAACGCGCAAATGTGCTTAAACAAGGTACTGCTGGGCCTCAAACTACTACTTCGAAAACGCGCCCGAACAGCGCAATAGGCCTAACTAAAAATAAAGCTACAACGACCAGGCGCACCAAACTATCGCGCAGCACGTCGCGAATCGTAGAAATAGCGCGGAGGAAATACGAAGAAAGCGAACCGATGAGAGATTTTGAAGCTACTGCGAGGCTGCGTCTATTTCGCCTACCGCCAGCAACTGCACAAGCCTGAACTCGATCTGCACCGAGCAACCGACGCAGCGGAATGGCGGAATTTCGACCGCTCGTTCTAACAGCACGCACTACGCGCAGGGTGCGAGCCTCGCGACGAACAGCTACGTCAATTTCGTCAATGAAGACACAGGCATCAACGGACACAAAGGAATTGCCTTACCTCTTTGCGGCAGCACAACACACAATTCACGAGCGCAGTCTCACTTGCAATAGCTCGTTTCCTTCGGGCACAAAGGCTAAATACGCCGAGAAGGAGCACGTCGCAGCCTGCGATTGGTCAGACTAGGCCGGCAACAACCAACTTCTGCCAACATCCGCCAATCAGAGGCCGAAGCTGACGCAAGTTTGTTTGCGTGTTCGTTTTCGAGAAAGATCTAGCAATTTCAATGACGTCAGTTAGTTGCTTGCGCGCCATCTGCTGCGTTTTCAAAATAAGCCTAAATTGCTCCAAAAAAGTTAGACATTACGTTGTTATATTACAAGTTTTATTTGAACAGTATTTCTTGTAAAATTATTGTTAAGTTCTTACTAAACACGTTTTTATTGCATATGTGTTTACTTAGGAGGCGCTACTAGTGTCTTTTTTTATCGCGCAATGGCGGCGTTCTATAAAACCGTTTTAAACCGTTCTTTTCCTGCTGTTGCGTTATAATTGCAGCTATGATTGTATTAGGTCGAGGAACGGTGTCATTTGAGGTATTTTGTAACGGAAGCTGTAAGATTGTGTTGCGTTGCTACCGCGCTTAAGAGCACTTGCAACCTGCGTGGTCTCGAACGTGACACAAAAACAAAAGCTCCGTGCGATGAATCATTTTTGTCGACACCACTGAGTGTCTGCTGTGTCTAGGGCGCTGATGCGCTGCGCAAGCACTCTTTCTGTCATTCTTTGAATTGGTCAAATTGCAACCACCATTCTCTTGAAACGACGAAGCGTCAGTGGCCTCACGCGTGTACTTTCCTGCAATTCGCACGAAGGGGGAAGTTCAAAATAGAAACGTGATTGGGAAATGCGCTTTGCAGATAGAAAATACGGAAGCCTGTGTTCTTTGTCTTAAACTGGCGAAAGCTTGGTAGCGTTGAAATGGCTCGCAGGCTAGAGAGCCTTCGGTTCACGGTAAAAGAATACACACATAATTGGCGCCAGACGGGGCGTTGTCTTTCACGATTAAGCCCAATCGGAATCAATATAAAAGATTTTGGTGGTATGGTGCAGCTTTCGAAAAGAAAACCAATCACGATTGAGAAATCCCATCCAGATCAGGCCCGATCGAAATCGACCGCGTGTGACACCGGTAAAAGCGTCAAGCAGTACGTGTGCTACGCATCCAGCTTTAGTTGCTCATATCAGTAGCGTTTGTCATGTCATATGTTTGCTCTGCCGTATCACAGAACGGCAGATCAAACACAGAACACCACATAAAAACATTTCTGATGGCTTACAACTCAATGTAATACAAGGAAACGCACACAAATTAGACTGTGATCATGTTTGCGTCACACAAGTGTTGTACTTTGAACACAGTACTATTTGGAACGCCGGGCGAAAACATTCGAACATACGCGTGCAAACGCGGGGTCCTGTGATAAACGTGACACAGGCCGACGAGGCGTTGCACAGGCAGACAGGTGGAACGCGTCATGCTGCCAAGCTCATCTCAGCGTGACCAGTGTGACTCATACGCCTGCAGTGTCAGTAGTCTCAGTGTCCGAAGCCCTTCAATTGCGGTGAATGCCGTACGTGTACAATACAGACAGGCGAATTGAATTTTATGAAATGGATTAAATTTACCAATTATAGTAGTACGTGAACATTTTTCTGAAACCGAAACTGCATTAAATTTTCCAAGCAGCGCCTGGAGCGGCGTAGTACGTCACCTCATGCATACATTTTTCCGCCCCTTTTTACCAAATCGTCTGCTATGTCTTTGAATGAGTGAGTACCCTGAACCAAGAAAGTACTCTTACGCTATGCGTACTAAAAATGTGTACCGCTAATAGTTCCCCATGCCTATGCCAATGGCAACGTCGTAATTCGTTCTGAAGCAGTGTCTCTGGTGCCGTTTTAACGTGACACGTTGAAGCCTAAAAAAAAAAAAAAAAATTACTCGCTCAGTGCTTTGCTCAGAGTGGCACAGAGATCAGCAAACGCAGGCGTGCGTCCTTGCAGTTATTTATTTATTTTTTGAACCGTTGCGTGCGTACAAACATAATGCATTGGTGCATGAACCTATAGACCAACGTTTAGCGCACAGTTCTGTGATTCGCCTGGGGTGTCGCAAATTTTGACTCAGTCGCTAGCCGGCACTTCGTGAGAATACTTCCTTTGGATCGCTGTAAAGGTAAAGGCAATAAAAGTCGCGCAAGCAACTATTTGCTTTGTTTACACTTCGCTATCCGAATCGACGTTCGCTAGCATGGTCTTGTCGCTTGCGAAAATCAACGACGTTTCGGCTATTCGTCTACCTCTTTTACACTAGGTGCTTTCGATCGCAATTTAGTCACGTAAAGAGGCAATTTCTCTATTGGCTGCGTTTCTTGAGCACGCTGCAGAAGGGATTGAAAATTTGATTCGTGATCGCGAGCTTAATCGCGATCGAAGGTGTCATTTGTAGCCGATGTATGAATTCCTCCGGATGACGCAAAAGTACATGCCTGCGTGTAAGCACAATGTCGTCCGCTTTTAATTGATTGTCACAGTTCCCAGAGTGACTTTCGTACGTGTTTGCCAGCGTTATCGCGCAAGTCTTCAGCTTTTGCTGGCGTAGCTCGGTCAGCTTCGATATCTGCTCGCATTTGTTCTTCTAATCTGCTGCGACGCGATCCTTGGGGAAGTGCCTGCCGTCGCGTGCAGCGTGCCGTGCTTTATGTGAACACCATGCGCTTTGTCTTTTCTGCGATATACGATTCTCATCGGAAGTCCTCCCCCTTAGATTGCAGGAAGTCGGCAGACACTATATCAATTGCTGATAGGGGAAGACGTCAGCAGTCATGTGCCTCGGTCTTGACTGTGCACATGGACCGTCCATACGTGCAGCTACGGGCGCCGCAGTTGGGGCAGTGAAGTTCTGAATGCTTGCATAACATGCGACTGTGGTAAGCGTGTCTTTTCATTTCTTTTTTAAATTAACATATCTCATTGCAGATGCTACAGTTTTTTGGCCCAAAACAAGCAAACTGATAGTTTAACTACTGTCTTCAAGGATAAAGGTCAAAATTTAACTAATGAGCCTTGAGGTGTTGGATTATGTGCTACTAATGCGCTCTCCCAAGCCATGCTACATATTAATGTGCTGTACTTGCGAAATGAGCTAGCCAGGCACGAAGCATGATGATAAGCAGCTTATGAAAGGAATAAGTGTAGGTAAATCACGATTCGTTTAAGTTGAAGCTGCAATTCTGACTAATTGAGGTGGTAAGTGCCAGTAGTAAATATTGAGTTACGTACCAATTTCGGTTTTTCGTTTCGAGAGCAGGCAGCGGCTAACGTGCACTTACGTAGTGAAGGCCATCTTAAAGAATTTCGTCAGCTGTTTCATTTTAGCACAGACACAGCATGCTGAGAGCTGGTGGTTCGAACGAAATGCTTTTCACTTCCATTTTAGTGTCATTCCACATGAAAAAACTTCAGTCCTGTTTCTGTTCTGGAATGAAAGTAAGTTTCGTGATGGTTCGCAACTATGCTTACTTGTGGGCGAAATTCTAGTTTAAAAGGTATAATAAAAACATAGTATTTCATTTGCTTACATAAAAGAGAACCGCGAATTCTCTCAGTAGGTTAAATTCTTTTTGTCGGGAGATTGAGCATGATCTTGGTCAGAAGCAGCACGTCAGCGGGTGTAGTCTGAAATATCCATGAGGGCTGTTCTCATAAAAAAAACCTTAAGATATAAAATGCTATTCAAAATTATTATTATTATTACTAATTTTCAATTCTGAGAATGTCCTCTTTATGTTGGCCTGTGTGACTGGCACACCAAGATCCACTTGCATTAATATTAACAGCTCCGGTTGCCTCTCTTCATTTTTCACAAAATTTCAGTCCATCTTTACTTTGGCCCCGCCACGGTGGTCTAGTGGCTAAGGTACTCAGTTGCTGACCTGCAGGTCGCGAAATCGAATCCCGGCTGCGGCGGCTGCATTTTCAATAAAAGCAAAAAGGCTGTAGGCCCGTGTGCTCAGATTTGAGTGCATGTTAAAGAACCCCAGGTGGTTGAAATTTCCGGAGCCCTCCACTACGGCATCTCTCATAATCATATGCTGTTTTTTGGGACGTTATACCCCACATATATCAATCACATTTTCACTTTAGAATCTCTGCCTGAAATCTGTGTTGATACTGTTTCCTGAGGTGTGCATTAATGCTCACATTGCACCTCCTTGGTCATTCCATATAGCCGACTTTTGGTTTCACTCTTGAGTCAAATGATAACGTTTTCATCCCTGTCAAAATTTTTTTATTTTCGGTTTTTATACTGTTGTTACCCACTGCCTCAGAGGGGCATACATTAAATGAAATTGGTTTACTGATAGTTTTGCGAATGGTGCTGCCAAATTACGATTCATGTAACGTCCAGGACGGGCTCCTGATGGTGTTCAGCGCAAGTCAGTGTTTTACAAGCTATGTACTGATTATCACAGGTTCTTGATATGAAGTGCAATTGTTGAAGAACGTCATTAAGAGTGGATGTTTTGTAGGAAATGAATAATCGTGGAATTAGCTGCGTGGGAGGTGAGTGCTAACATGCTGCAAGTGTGGTGCCCCTATATGTGGCAGTTGTCGGCCTGTTTCCTCCCTATTTTCTCTGTGTATACATCAGCTGTGAACAAAAATTCATTTTTTGTTCTTCCCCAATATCGCCATGTATTTCCATTGCAAGTTCCTTTAATGAGAAAGCAAGGCATTCGAGTTATTTTTTAACGTTGGAGCATTAATTACTTTACCACTACATCTTTGTTTTTAAAGTATGGTATATTGTCGGGCTCTCCTGAGGCAATGTCAAGCTATTAACTTAATCATATTGAACAATGTATATCATACGAGTAGGAGCATTGTAGTCGGCAGATGACTTGGAGGTAAAAAAAGACTGTTAGAAAACTCGCCTAGGCAATTTTTTTCAGGAAGCAAGGGCTCATATGCTCTTTCAACTTGGTCTTCAGATGTGCTTTCAGGATACATGCTTCAAAAATACAAATATGGGAAGCTACTTAGATGCATCAATGAAAAATGTCTTGCTTGATTAACTACATCAACAGAAACAATACATATTCATTTATTGAATGCCGATTTGATATCACAGTACTATTTTCTGGAAGAAAAAAAAAGAAAGAAAGGAAAGGAGGAAACTAAAAGGCAGGGAAATTAACCTGAAAAGTTTCCAGTTGTTTGTCCTATACTGGGGGATTGGGGAAGGGGAATAGGAAACAAGAGGAAAGGGAAGAAAAAAAAACAAAGGACAGGAGCAGGAAATTGTTGAGAGGATACATATTATCAACTTAATAAAGTCTCATATTAGAACTCTACAAGAGTTGCACTTTGGCAGTGGCAGGTGACCTCATTTTTTGGGGAGCAGTACGTTGGAAACATTCAAAAGCCTTTCCACCAAGGGGTTTGAGGGCACTTTTGAGTTGTACTACAGAAAAAGCCACATCAAATACTTGAAGTTCATCTGCTAGAGCAGGTAGTCGGCTTGTGCAAGCGGCTATCGCAACAGCTTATGCTGTGCCTAAGCTAAAAGGATATGGTGTTCGAACAACCAGAAATCTTTGGGCACTGACAAGGTGGAGGCATCTGTGTTGGCTGGCTTGATCACTGCAAACACATCTGTCTTGGTGTGGCTGGTCGCCATGTTTGGCATAAAACTTTCTAGGATGCATGTTACCATAAACCTTGGGGAAAAAATTGCCCGCAGCTTCCCTCGGGGGAACACTGAGGAGGATGCGGAGCATATAATTGGTTAACGGGGTGTTAAAGTGCGACATACTTGGGTCGATGGCTAAATTAGGTAACGTGGTTGTGAAATGGGGTGTTAAATTGCGACTTACTTGGGTCGATGGCTAAATTGGTTAACGTGGTTGTAGGAGGGGGTGTTAAATGAGTGAACACGTACACACGTATGCGAAAGGGTGGCGCTGGTCGAAGGGACGTCGATCATTGTGTTTGTGGATTCGTTGGCATTCATTTCACCGCGACCTTGGACGTCGACGCGCCGTACAACCGAACCGACGAGCGGCAACTGAGCGAGCGAGCGCCGACCTTGAGTATATATACAGCGCGACGGCGCATGCACTGTCAGCTGTCGAATGTTCGAGAAGGGGGAGAAGCGCAACGGCGCATGCGCGCGCGTCAGCTGCCGATGTTCTTGAAGCGTGACGGCGCATGCGCGCTACATTATACAGCTAGCGAATGTTCGTGAAGAGGAGAAGCGCACGCGGTGTGTAGAGGAGGAAGGGTGCACAGATGGTGGAGGAGTGAAGCGCGCGCGGTGTGTAGAGGAGGAAGGGATGCACAGATGGTGGAAGAAGGAGGAGGAAGCTTGCGGACGGCGCCGCACTACAAGCCTCGAGTATTATATGCTCCGCATCTAAAATGCAGCTGCTAGAATCCATGTTAGCATAAACCCTGGGAGAATGCAGCGAATGACAGAGAAATAGCCACGAGTTCTTTGTGCCTCATGCAGTTGCACTCTGTGTAATTCTCTGCTCAGGTGCATGTGTCTGTTCAATAGTATGGGTTAGAGCCTTTCCTGTTGAGTTGTATGATAGAAAAGTAAGGATAGGTAAGCTTTAACAGTCCCTAATTATCAAAGCCATGCAAAGGAGTAGAAAGGGGCACTTTTCAAGCTCATCTCATCTGGCTATAGGATGTGCTCAGCAAACTCTCTAGATGCCGTTTCGCAGCTGCACTTTCTCGGTCACAGCTTGTTTGCAAGGTATATAAAAAAAAAGTCGAAGCCGGTGTACTGGCCCTTTAAAAAGGACAATTATTATCCATTCAGCAGCAGCACAATGCTACTGCAAAACAAATTTGTACTGGTTCTTCTAAGTGCCCTGTCGCGGTAGTTTAGTGGCTAAGGTACTCTGCTGCTGACCCGCAGGTCGCGGTATCGAATCCCGGCTGCAGCGGCTGCATCTTTCGATGGAGGTGAAAATTCTGTAGGCCCATGTGCTCAGATTTGGGTGCACATTAAAGAACCCCGGGGGGTCAAAATTTCCGGGAGCCCTCTACTATAATGCCTCTCATAATCGTATGGTGGTTTTGGGACAAGCACATTAAAGTACCCCGGAGGGTCGAAATTTCCGGGAGCCCTCTACTATGATGCTTCTTATAATCGTATGGTGGTTTTGAGAAGTTAAACTGCACATATAAATCAGTCAATTCTCCTAAGCAAAACACAGTTCACAAAAGATTTAACACTGTGTGGGGCTTCTTTTGTAGGCCTGCACTTCTCAGGTGGGCCCATTGTTTTCCCTAGCCCAAGCTAAACGAAAATACCCATCCAAGTTTTAAAGCTTTCATTGCCTAAACATATTCAGTCTCCTGATAAACGCAAAAAGAATACACAATACTGTTTTTGGAATCGCACAGCATCACGTAGTTTAGGTGAGTCTCCCCTGCACTTTGAACTCTGCAGGTGATTATCTTCTCTTTTCAACCATTTACAAAATTGCAGTCAATGGAAAGTTGTTAAACATACATAAAGAAACAAGTTTCAATTGCACGAAGGATGAGCCTTACTGCAGTGGCACCAGATAGCAAATTATTACACTGAATGTTTGTCTGAGCAGACTATGCATACGACGACACCTGGATAGGCAAGGCAAGAAAGGTCAAGTTTATGGAAGAAGAAAATTACAAGACATTTCCCAACTTAGGTTTGTGACATACATTTGAAGTGGGATATACATTGCTACATTTATCGCCATTGCCGAAATCGCTAGCGTCCTACCACACCAACTTTCCCGCATTCCGTCAATGCTCGTGTCTTTTATCGTCATGAAACCAGCCCAGGACACAGCATATCATTTGGACACCGGTGAAACGGAACCTTATCTACGTACAATTCGATGGTGTGCATGTGACTGCACTTGTTGACACTGGTGCTCAGCTTTCTGTTATGACGACTTATTTGCGCAGCAAGCTCAAGAAAGTTCTCACACCTGTAACATCTCCGTTCATCGGCGTTGCTGCTGACGGCGGTACAACATCTGCCGTTGGAATTCGCTCTGCTCATGTAAGCACTGCTGATCGCCACACAGTTTTTCTTTTCGCCATCTTTAAAAAATATCCGCAAGACATAACTCTAGGCCTCGACTGCCTGTGCACTCATTGACTGTTTGGACAGTACGCTCCATCTCCACTTGCCCATAACAGACCCTTCTACACCACAGCTGAGTCTCCTCTGCACTGCCAGATATGCTCACCTGCTGCCCCAAAGACTGACCTACGTCAGGTTTGTATTTGTGATACCACCAGTTCTTGATGGCGACAAAATACTGGCACCTATCACCTATGTCCTCATTAACTGCAGCTGACTGCGACGTTATGTTACCACACACCACTCTCCCAGGGAATTCCACGTGCCTTCTGGTAGTGAATTTCAGTTTGACACTTCAAGTGCTGCGACAAGGCATCTCTTTGGCATTGCTTTCTACCTTAGAAGACAATGCAAATGATGTTTTCATGGTGGCTGCTCCTTTTGATCTCCAGGCTCCGCACCGATCCAGTACTTGCCTGG